AACATCACCAACACCACACCATCGTTACCACCATCACCATCACCACCACCACCTCCATCACCCTCACCCTCAGCTCCCTCCCCTCCCCTCCAACAGCTCCCTCTCCGCCGCGTTGCCATGACCTCGCCTTCCATTTTCGTCAAATCCCGACTAACTGTTTGCGCGAGGGGAAGGCCCTATCACAACTGCCTCTAATTTACGGAAGCCAGACCAGCCTTTTCCGCTAACGATTTTTCCGTCGTTCTATGAATCCAAGCACAATATCATCCGTTTTTCCCATTATGTGGATAGTCCTCTATCTATACATTTTTAGTGCGTTTTTTCTCTTTTATATACATACATATATACATATATGTGTATATATGTATATATGTACAGTATATATGTATGTATGTATGTGTTTATATACGTATGTATATATATATATATATATATATATATATATATATATATATATATATATATATATATATATATATATATATATATATAGACACACACACACACCTATGACTATACATCTGTCTTATCTATCTGTCAATCTATATGTCTTGCGACACAAATGTTAGAATTGATAACTACCTTGAGCACATAACTGTATCTTCTATGTAGTTCACAAATAGCAAGAATTAAAAAAAAATTAACGTACATTTATTTTTCGAAACACCCATACAATTGCCCCTCCCCGATAAAAAAAATATCTTTCACAGTCATAAAACACAAAAAAACGACGGCAACTTTGAACGACACGCTCACTGAAATGTTTCTGGACAAATGTTACGGTTCAAATTGCCAACGCAATCGGTTTAACTGTAATTCGATAAACAGCTTGATAGGTCACATAAAACAAGTATTAAACCTACGGATATTCACGCCTCTTTTCAATAACAGGCTTCGATCATTAATTCACTTTTTCACGAACTGCATGGAAGGGAAAAAGAGAACCAGGCGACTATTTACGTTTATTAACGCCATTATGTATCACGATGACCTATGTATATGTTTTAATTGTGAATCGATAATCAACTGTAAACAGTGGGTCTATTTACTTCATACATTATCTGGGTCAGCAGCCGAAGGAAATAAACAATTAAACGACGCAGATAAACAATATGAATCAAGTTGTTCTCAAAATACCCACCATTCACAATCAATTAATCCTCATCTCAAACTCCCTTTTTTTTCTTTTTTCAATAACATCGGTCAAGTTATGCTCGTATCACTGCATTTTTTTTTATTTATCAAACCTGAATACATACATCCTCATTTTATCACGTATCTTTTTCTCTCTTCTTTTATCACACTGTAACGGTATTACAACAACTAAAGTTCATTACCACTAATCGGGATTTTTTTTTCAACTCCTGGTTATTACCGAAGCTTAAGTTTATTACCACTGCAATGGAATATTACTGCTACTAAACTTTAATGGCATGGCTCATGACTGAAACTTATTCGGAGTTGATTTCTAGATCAGAGAAGTGGCGGTGGTAATGATGATAACGAAAACTGTCATTTCAAATAAAATTATGATCTTGCTTGTACTATCAGAAGCAATCAGAGGAATGATGACCATGACATTAGTCATATTATCAACATCAAAGCAATATGACAAATAACCAAAATAAATGTGAGGATGATGACAACACTTGTACTGCCGCTAACTGATAACGATATAAAATTACAACGACAACCGATTATTGATAGTGATCTGTATAACTCAGTATTTTTTATGACACAACTAACAGCAATTGAAAAAACAACAGAAAAAAAAATAAACACAAAAACGGACCATCGCATAAGACTTCAACTTCTTAAAACCACACTTTTGCCTCCCATGAAAAAAAAAAATGATAACCTGGGTTCAACTTGGACAACAATTTCCCTCTTTCGCCGGCCTATTATCTCCATTTCCCATTTACGCTACAAGTTCTCTTTGATATGAAAGACTTAAAGATGAGACTCGTGCGCCCTGGCCAGGTAACACGGTAACAATAAGGACGAAGCTGGGATACATGGAAGAGAGAAGAGGTAGGGACGGATGGAGGGAGGGGGAGGGAGCGAGGGAGGGAGAGAGGGAGGGAGAGAAAGAGAGAGAGAAAGAGAGACAGAGAGAGAGAAAGAGAGAACGAGAGTATGCATATATATATATATATGAGCGCGCGGGTGTGTGTGTGTGTGTGTGTGTGTGTGTGTGTGTGTGTGTGTGTGTGTGTGTGTGTGTGTGTGTGTGTGTGTGTGTGTGCACGCGTGTGTCTGTAAGCCCTACACCCCGACACCGCAACCTCATGCTTGTCTCCCGAACCGGCCGCACTTATAGTACATATGGACGCCCCCGAAAGCGAGCCCAGTATGCAGTGAGGTGAAGCGAGATCCAGGATTGTCCCTTCTCCCTGTCTGTAGCTTCCCCTTCCTTTGAAGATGGAAAGCCCTTTGGTGACGAGGGAGGGAGGACAAAATATGGGAATGGAGAAACAGAGAGACAGGATGAGGTGGAGGAGGAGGAGAAGGAGGAGGAGGTAAATGAGGACGAGGAGGAGGAGGAGCAGAAGGAGGAGGAGGAGGAGGAGCAGAAGGAGGAGGAGGAGGAGGAGGAGGAGGAGGAGGAAGAGGAGGAGAAGGAGGAGGAAGAAGAAAGGATGGCTAGAGGACCGAAAGGAGAGGGGAAGAAAAGAAAAGGGAACAAATAATACGAAAGGGAGAAACAAGTAAAATTAAGATATCGTTTCAATATCATCGCTGAGCGTGCAGATGAAGATAAAACCAAAGGCCCTGTGTAGCCTTTATCGAGAAGAAGGGGGGGTGGGGAGGGGTCTAAACCGAGTTGATATCAATTTGGACAATTTAATATACACTAAACTACAGAGGAATATAAAGGGACCAGCTCGATACCAACTCTTTATTTCCTATTCAACCTTTTAATATTCCCTAAATGGTATTCAACCTCCCTCCCTCTGTTACTGAGAGGTATCACTGGTCAGTTGGTACCATTATTATATACTTTCACTATTAAGACTACTATCGCTGGTACTACTCATATCATCAGGATTATTAATTATTATTATTATTTTTTCTCTCTCTCTCTAAGTAACAGGGAGATAGTAATAAAGAAGTTGAGGAAATATATGAAAGAAATAATAATAATAATAATAATAATAATAATAATAATAATAAAACCAACAATAATAAAAGCAATAACAACAACAACAACAATAATAATAATAATAACAATAATAATAATAACAATAATAATAATAATAACAATAGTAATAACAATAACAATAATAATAATAACAATAATAATAATAATAACAATAGTAATAACAATAATAATAATAATGATAATAATAATAACAACAATAATAATACCAACAACAAAGAGGAGAAGAGGAAGAAGAAAAAGTAAAATAAAGAAAGACAAAAGAATACAAAGCAAGAAAGTTAAAATATCCTCAATGGATCTGGGAAAAAATGTTGCCCTTTAAAATACTTCAAAAATGGATAAAAAAAACAAATAAAAGTTAAACGGCCATAATAATAAAAATGAGCGAGGCAAATGACCAAGTAATAATCATAGCAATAATAAACGTAATCATAACGACCACGAGGGTAAATTGGAGGGCGTGAATGCCCAGTGGAAAACGATATGAAAGGAAATCACATAAACGAAGACAACTTAATGATGATGATGACGATGATAATGATGATAATGATGATAATGATGATGGTAATAATAATAATAATTATTATTATTATTATTATAATTAATGATGATGATGATGATGATGATGATGATGATGATGATGATGATGATGATGATGATGATAATGATGATAATAATAATAATAATAATAATAATAATAATAATAATAATAATTATAATAATAACAACAATAATAATAATAATTATTATTATTATTATTATTACAACAATAATAACAATATGATAACAAATAAAAGTAGGCCAATAAAAAAGTGAAGGAAAGTGGGCATGTAATAAAGAGAGGTATTCAAAAACAAAAAAGTGGCATTTGACAGGAAAAGTGGGGCATTCAAGACAAAGAAGGAAAGTGATACAAAAGTGATAAAAAGGGGGGAGGAGGGGGGAGTGAAAAAGAAAGTAGGGCATTTCTTAGAAGGAAAGTGGATCATGCAAAAGGGGGGGGAGGGAAAGAGAGGTCTTTAAAAGAAAAAAAAAATAGGGCATTTCTTAACAAAGGAAAGTGGGCATATATAAAAAGTATGAGAAGAGAATTACTCAGAAAAAAAAGAAAAAGAAAGCACCCCAAAAAATGGGAAAACTTATATACAAAATAAGGATAAGCAAGTCAATACAAAAAAAAATGACAACAGCAACAACAACAATAACAAAATGTCCTTAGAACTTATGAGAAAGGTATTTTAACAATTCTGATAAAGAGTTTTTGAGGGACATGGAACCCAATTAGCTTAATGTTGTTCTCGTTCTTATCATATCGCTCACTGTGAAGTAATTGCTGCAACGATACTGCCGATTTTGGAAAAAGAAGAGAGAAAAAAAATGAATGAGTGAGTGAGGAAGGGAGAGAAGGAAGTAGGGAGGGGGAAAATGAAAAAGGGAGGAAGAGAAGGAGCAACTGAGAAAAGGAGGGAGAGAGAAAGAAGGAGGGAGGGAGAAAACGAAGGAAGGAAGGAAGGAAGGAAGGAAGGAAGGAAGGAGGAACGGAAAGAAGGAAGAAGGTATGGAGAGGAGGAAGGGAGGGAAAGAAGGAAGAGAGGGAGGGTGAAAAGAGAGAAAAAAAAGAGAGAGGGATGGAGAAAAGGAAGGACGGAAGGAAGGAGGGAGAGGGGGATAGAAGGAAGAAGGGATGGAGAGGAGGAAGGGGGGAGAGTAGGAAGAATGCAGGGAGAAGGGAGTGAGAAAAAAAAATGATACACTGCAGAAAGAAACAGAAAGTAGACAGCCAAGTTCACCGGGCATAATGACAACAGAGAACCCAGACAGTGTCCATTATACTTACGTTTCTGCTGCTTATCGTAGGGTGCTTCTGGGTGGCTGTGGCATCATTGTTATTCTGGAAGAGAAGAGAGGACGTTATTATTGTGGGAATGAAGACATTACGAAGAGAAACTGGAACCAATAACAGGACGGCCACTTCCCCCTTCTCTCTCTCTCTCTCTCTCTCTCTCTCTCTCTCTCTCTCTCTCTCTCTCTGTCTGTCTGTCTGTCTCTCTCTCTCTTTCTCTCTTTCTCTCTTCCAATCTCTCTTTCACACTTTCTTTCACACTTTCTTTCATTCTAATTTTCTTCCATTCTCTCTCTGTCTCTCTCATAATCTCCCCCTGTCTTTCTTTCCCTCTCTCTCTCTCTCTCTCTCTCTCTCTCTCTCTCTCTCTCTCTCTCTCTCTCTCTCTCTCTCTCTCTCTCTCTCTCACACACACACCCACTATCTATACAAAAAAAAGAACAAAAAAAAAATCTTCAAAACAACAAACTAGCAAAACAAACACCCTCTCCACCTCCCCCTAAAGCCCCCCCCTCCCCCCCCCCTGAACGCCGAGAGAAAAGGCTGCAGGATCTCCGAGATGTTGGGGGAGCCACGGACCGCCGCCGGAAGTGCGAAGGTCACGCGGAGCCGGGGTGTCGGATCGCGGCTATCGGCTTTCGCGAAAAATCTTCAGGAATCGCGAATATCGAGTGTTATTATTTTGAGGGGTGGGGGTGGGAGGGGAGGGGAGGGGAGGGGAAGGGAGGGGAGAGGAGAGGAGGGGAGGGGCAGGGGAGGGGAGGGGAAGGGAGGCGAGAGGAGGGGAAGGGAGGGGAGAGGAGGCCAGGGGAGGCGAGGGGAAGGGAGGGGAGGCGAGGGGAGGGCAGGGGAGGGGAGAGGAGGCCAGGGAAAGGGAGGGGAGGCCAGGCGAGGGGAAGGGAGAGGAGGGGAGGCGTGGGGAGGGAAAGATGTGGATGATGGTAGTGTGGAGGGGGGGGGGGAGTGGAGGAATGAAAAGAAAAGAAAAGAAAAAAAAAAGAAAGAAAGAAAAAAAAGTTGAAAAAGTTGAAGAAGATGAAGGAGAAGAAGAGGGAAAAAAAGAAAGGAAGAAAGAGAGAAGATGGCGGGTATTTTTAAAGGGAGTGGGATGGTTTAGACGTAGTGAGGGTATGAGAAAATGGAGATTACCAAAAATGTGTTCGTGTTAAATAAGAAGGGTGAAAAAAAAATGAGTCAATCAAATATGTCTAAGTAATATCACTGCAAGCTAAAAAAAATATATATATTTCAAATGAAAAAGAAATATACGAAACTGATGGATGAAAGAAGTAGGAAGAAAAGGAGGAGAAGGGGGAAAAAGGAGCAAGAAATAAAAGAAGAGAAGAAGGAAGATAAAAGAATGAAGAGGAGAAGGAGGAAAATAAGAGAGGGGGAAGGGGAGGAGGAGGAGGAGGAGGAGGTGGAGGAGGAGGAAGAAGAAGAGGAGGAAGTGGCAACAAGATGACGAGGAAAAAAAGCCAAATCCAAAAGAATCGGGGAAAAGAGCGGGAGAAAAGCAAGGCCACGGAGATAAGCTCCGAGGAACAAACAAGACGCTAAAAAAAAGAACTGCCAACAAGAGTTTTGCAAGAATATAGAAAGATCCCCCCCCCTCTCCTCTTCACCTCCCTCCTTAACCCCCGCCCACCCCTACCCACTTAGCTTCCCCATTTCCTTTCCCTCCCCCCTACCCTACTCCCTACCCACCCCCTACCCCTCCCTACCCACCCCCGGCCCCACCTTACCCTCCGGCAACTTGCATTATGACGTATGTGGGGAAATTTCGAGCGCACATCAACCTGGCCTTGAGGTAGGGCAGGTCTGCTCAGCCCTCTGCTACGAGGAGAGAGGATGAGCTCGTGCCCCTTCTCTGAGGTATGACACGGGGACGAGAGGCTTGGGGAAGGAAGGAGGGGGGAGGGACAGGGGAGTGAGGGGAGGGGAGAGGGGGACAGAGGTGTGGGGAGAGGAGAGAGAAAAGTGAGGTGAGGGGAGAGAGGGAGAGGGGGACAGAGGTGTGGGGAGAGGGATGTGAGGCAAGGGGAGGGGAGAGGAGAGAGAAAAGTGAGGTGAGGGGAGAGGGGGACAGAGGAGTGGGGAGAGGGAAGTGAGTCGAGGGGAGGGGAAGAGGGAGGAGAGAAAAGTGAGGTGAGGGGAGAGGGAGAGGGGGAGGGGGGCAGAGGACTGGGGAGAGGAGAGAGAAAAGTGAGGTGAGGGGAGAGGGAGAGGGAGACAGAGGTGTGGGGAGAGGGATGTGAGGCAAGGGGAGAGGAGAGGAGAGAGAAAAGTGAGGTGAGGGGAGACAGAGGAGTGGGGAGAGGAAAGTGAGGCGAGGGGAGGGGAAGAGGGAGAGGAGAGAGAAAAGTGAGGTGAGGGGAAAGAGTTGAGGGGAGACAGGAGTTAGGTGCGGTGGGAAAAAGGGGAGAAGAGGGACAGAGGAGTGAGATGAGAGAGAGAGAGAGAGAGAGAGAGAGAGAGAGAGAGAGAGAGAGAGAGAGAGAGAGAGAGAGAGAGAGAGAGAGAGAGAGAGAAAGAGAGAGAGAGAGAGACAAAAGGGAATTGGAAAGACAAAAGGGAAAGGGGAAAGAAGAGACAGGAGAAAGAAGAGTGGAGGAGAGAACGAAGAGAAGATGGGAAGAACAAGTAAAAGGATATGGGGAGTGCATAGTTGGATGGGAATGAGGAATTGAATACGGGGAAGATATTGGGAGTGGGACTAGGGGGGGAAGGGGGGGGAGGGAGGGAAAGGGAGGAGATAGTAGGGGAAGGAGTGGAAGTGGCTGAATTAAAATTGAGAAAGCAGGATAAATGTAAGGGGAGAGGATAGGGAAGGGAGAATATACGTGAAGAAGGGAAGGATGAGAGAGGGTGTGAGGGTAGAGCATGAGGCTAGGGGGGGTGGGGTGGAGGGGGGTTGAGGGACATGTTGGAGTAAGGTTTTCTGTTGTAGAAATGTGTATATAACTACGTAATGTGATGAAGATGAAGTGAAGATGAACATGACGCTATAGCTGAAGATGGCAATGATGTAAAAGTAGATGATGAAGATGACATAAAGTAGAAGATGAAGGGGAAGGTGATAAAAACGATGAAAATGAAGACGATGAAGTAAAAGTAGATGAAGATGATGGAGATACATAAAAAAAGATGAACATGAAGATAAAAAAATACTGAAGAAGGTGAAGGTGAAAGTGAAGGTAAAGACGGAAGGTGAAAGCCAAGATGAAATTCAAATTGAGGAAAAAAAAGTGAAGATGATGACGTGATTATACAAACGATGGTGAAGATAATGACCAAAGGACGCCAATTTCTTCTCAAACTCACAATCGGATGTAAAAAAGGATAAACCCAAACTTTTATAAAGATGAGCTAATTAAAATGTCACGACACAAGGTTATAACAATAAATTTCCTCCTTTTTCTTTTTCTTTGGAACAACCGAAGTTTCAATGACGAAAAAAATGGAAGAGAAGTCGCAATATACTAAAAATTAAAAATGGAAATGTTTATATTGAAATAAAGATGATAATGACGATTGTATTATTAGCAGTGACAATAATAATGCTTATAATAATCATAATAATAATTATAATAATGATGATGATGATGATGATAATGATAATGATAATGATAATGATAATAATAATAATGATGATGATAATAATAATAATAAAAAGAATAATAAAAATAATAATAATAATAATAATAATAATAATAATAATAACAATAATAATAATAATAATAATAATAATAATAACAGCAACAATACTAAAGATAATAATAGAAATAATGATATAAATAATAATAATAATAATAATAATAATAATAATAATAATAATAATAATAATCATGATAATAATAATAATAGTCATAGTTACAATGATGATGGTGATAATCATAATGACGATGGTGGTGGTATTGATGATAGTAGTAATGTTGATGATACTAATACAAATAAAAACAAAATAATGATAGTAACAATGATAATGATAATACGAGATCATACTTAATTTCCACGTGTGTCTGTGTGTGTGTGTGTGTGTGTGTGTGTGTGTGTGTGTGTGTGTGTGTGTGTGTGTGTGTGTGTGTGTGTGTGTGTGTGTGCGCGCGTGTTCAATCCTGTGTACATACAGTATATACAAGGGAATACTCACACGTATAAATTCACTAGCAAGATGCAAAATATAGACTTATTTTGTATAAATAGGTGAGAGCAATCAGTTAAATCTACAAACTGATCGATATTTTTTTCTATATTCACAATGTGCAATGAATGAAAAAAACAGCCATGCAAATGAGCACACGTCCACACATCCCAACACACACACACACACACACACACACACACACACACACACACACACACACACACACACACACACACACATCTAATTAAACTGTCTTGTTGACACGGTCTAATAATGAAAGTAAAGTTTGTATAACATACATTTCCCATTATATTTCAACTCTCGATAATGGTGAATATAAAAATCGCATTCCGTGCTACGAGTAACATGCAATCATGCAAAATATTAGCATCGCAAAAGCGCTGCAATCATGCAAAAGAGAAATAGTTTGAATCTTGAATAAGAAACGGGGCGAGAGTATGCAACAGCAAGAATTAAAATAATGAACAAAGAGCATTTCGGTAGAGGATGCCACGGTAAAGATGCGCTGCGGGCACAGAGCGACGAAGGCCGACACTCCGACCTGGGACAGACGGCTAACACGGCCACCGACTCCACCTACACTACCATGGGTCAGTCATGCGCATACCGGAGGGGCGTCGCCAGGCAGGACAAGGGGTGAGGGTCAGGTCATGCGGGCACGGAGGGTGGTGTCGACGGGTCAGCCGCCGCTCCTGACCTCTTTCTCGATGTGTAATGCAGTATGCCACACGGTGAAGGCCAGGCGATGCAGAACCCCGGCGTCCATGCGCGGGTCCGAGCGTGCGCGGCGTCTGCGTTGACGTACGTTGGTGCTACCATCGGATCGCAGGGAATCCAGGGAAGATTTACAGGAGGAGCCCAGGGAGTTCCAGGACGCCGACGGGGCCACGCGTCCTACGGGGGCCGTGCGAGGAAGCGTGGCAGGGGGGGAGTCCGGGGTGGAGCTAATGAGGGAAGGGATGGACGAGTACACGTCGTCCTCCTCTTCGGCCCGTGTTGTTTGTGGCCACGTGGGCGTCGACTGCACCATGAGCAGGTTATCTGGACTGGGGGTGGTGCTGGTCGTCCCTGGATACGATGCTCTCATTCCCGCGCCCGGGAGTATAGGGCCTCGCTCGGGAATAATGGGCGGAGGTATAGATCCTGGAGATATAAGAGGATTGTGAGGTCCTACGGGTCCCGTGGTCAGGCGAGGGGGAGGCAAGGGCGGAGGTGCATCGTCTGCCCGCCGGCGGTACCGAAGTGGGGCAGGTAGGGGCGGCTGAGGCCGTGAATACTTCGCTTCGCCGACACTCTGATAAAGCGGATCTCCGTCCGTTGTCTCTATGCTGGAGTAGATATCGTCGCTCAATGCCCCCTCGCTCCGTGGGCCCTCGCTGGGGTACTCCAAGCTGGAGTAAATGCCGTCATCATCGCCGGGACTCCATCGCACTGGAGGAGGGATAGGCCTCTCCCTCCGGAGGGTTTCGTACTTTGACTCACCTTCCTTCTCTTTACTCTTAGGCAGAGCCTGATATTTGGACTCATTATCCTTTTCCTTCTCTTTCTCTTTCTTTTTTGACTTTGAATCACTTTCCTTTTCCTTTTTGCTTTTTGTCTCTCCTTCTTTATCCTTCTTCTTAGGTAAAGACTGATATTTTGGCTCGCCTTTATGAGCTCTTTTGGGGAATGATTGGTATTTCGAATCTCCTTCCCTGAAAGTTCTCTTTGTAGGGGAGTGATACTTATCTCCTTTTATCCTCTTGGGGACACCCTGTAATTTCAACATTTCCTTCTCCAACTTGCGGGCCTGGAGAAGTCGGTAATTGGATTTGACGTCTTGGATCATCTCTGGCGTTACTGCCTGGTATACAGGGGCCTCGTCTGCAGGATCAGGCGACGGCGGAGGGAAGAAACTCCGTGAATCACTTGGTTTCGTCTGATAAGGTGGAGGAGGTGGTTCACATATTTTTGGTGACATCACAGTGTATGGTGGACCATCATCATCTTCAGGCTTGACGGGCGCAGTGCAATACAGAGTTTCACTTACTTTAGGTGCAATTTTTTGATACAAAGGTTCTCGCTCTGTTACCTTGGGACCAATCATCTGGTACAAAGGCTCACGATCAGCTGCTTTGGGAGATGTCTGATGGGACACCATGAACTTAGGGGGAACTGGCTGGCCATAAGTTTCAACATCACAAGCCTTTGGAGGTAAAGAAGCTCTAGTCAGCAATTCAGGGGTGTGAAGCTTAGCTGGCAAAGTTTCATACAAAGGAGCCTCATTCTGCCTTACATGAGACTCTGTCACTTGCACCTTCAGGGGACCTGTCTGGTAGGTAGGCTCCCCATTTCTTGTCCTTGGAGGAACCATCTGGAATCCTGGCTGAGGCTCATTAGCCCTTGGTGGACCTGTGTGGAATTTGGGGTCACCATTGTACGGTTTTGGTATATCCAGTGGAAGTTTGTTGTCCACACTAACTGGAATTGAGAAAGGTATTCTTTCTACTTCGGGTCTCCTTATTGGCATAGGCTGGAACTTGGGCTCATTCTCAGACCGTATGGTTGGGATGGTGTGGAAAGCATAGTCTGTTCTCCTCGGTGCCATGGCTGGATCACGGGGGTCGTAGCTTGGCTTTACACAAGGTATAGGCTGGAACTCATAGTCATGAGTCTTAGGTGGCATTTGCTGATATTTTGGCTCCAGATCGGGCCGACCTGCCGATACTGGTGGAGGCTGAAATTTGGGTTCAATATCAGGTCGTCTTGGTGGCAGTGGCTGATACTTTGGCTCTATATCTGGTCGTCTCTGAAGCTGTGGAGGGAAACTTGGCTCAATGTCAGGTCGTCTAGGTGGCAGAGGCTGATATTTCGGTTCAATGTCTGGCCTTGGTGGAGGCAGTGGTTGAAATTTTGGCTCTATATCAGGGCGTCTCAAAGGAGCTGGATGGTATTTGGGTTCTATATCAGGTCGTCTTGGCGGCAGTGGCTGGTATTTAGGTTCTATGTCTGGTCGTCTCTGTGGTAAAGGCTGGTATTTTGGTTCAACATCAGGTCGACCTGGTGGCATATGCTGATGGTACCTTGGTTCTATATCAGGACGTTTAGGTGGCAGTGGCTGGTACTTCGGTTCAATATCTGGCCGTTCATGTGGTAGCATTTGGTACTTTGGTTCTATATCTGGCCTAGGAGGTAATGGTTGGTATTTCGGCTCTATATCAGGCCTTGGGGGTAATGGCTGGTATTTTGGTTCGAGATCTGGTCTTCCTGGTGGCAAAGGTTGATATTTGGGCTCTTGGTCTGGGCGTCTGGGTGGAAGGGGTTGATATTTAGATTCCAAATCAGGTCGGCAGTGTGGTGCAGTGTGGTATTCTGGCCTAGGTGCTGGTATGGGCTGGAACTTGGGCTCTAGTTCTGGCCTAGGGGCTGGTATGGGTTGGAACTTTGCTTCTAGATCTGGTCTGGGTGCAGGAATGGGCTGGAACTTTTGCTCTAAATCTGGCCTTGGGGCTGGTATGGGCTGGAATTTTGGCTCTAACTGTGGTCTAGGAGCTGGTGGTGGTTGATATTTCGGTTCCAGGTCTGGCCGAGGGGCTGGTAATGGTTGGTATTTGGGGTCTAGATCTGGTCTGGGTGCTGGTAATGGCTGGTACTTTGGTTCTAATTCTGGCCTTAGGGCTGACAGAGGCTGGTACTTTGGTTCTAGCTCTGGCCTCGGGGCTGGTAGTGGCTGGTACTTTGGTTCTAGTTCTGGCCTCGGGGCTGGTAGTGGCTGATACTTAGGTTCAAGGTCTGGCCTTCCTATTGGAATGGGCTGAAATTTTGATTCATCATTCCTCGGATGAGGAATATAATGGTGTCTATGCTCCACATCATGCCTCACTGGTGGTATGGTCTGGTATCTTGGGCCAGGGTCACACCGACGTGGAGGGAGAGGATGGTATCTTAGATCTACAGTTGGTGGTAACACTCGGTGGTATCTTTGGTCAAAATGGTCATGTCTTTTTAAAGGGACAGTTTCATATTTTGATTCTATGTCATGCCTCGGGAGGGGATGTGGTACAGAATGGTACTTGGAATCATAATTATATCTTTTGTGAGGCAGTGTTTGGTATTTGGGATCGATGTCGTACCGTTTGGGCGGCAATTCCGGATACTTCGGTTCCACATCAGGTCGTTTTGGGGGATGAATGTGGTATGTAGGTTCACCATCAATCCCTGTGGTCGGCAGAACCTGAAACTTAGGATCAAAGTCATACCTCTTCGGTGTAATTTGCTGGTACTTGGGTTCAGAACCCCGTCTTTTGGGTGACATCGTTTGTTGCGGCCCTTGCATCACCTCATGTTTATGTGACTGCTGCTCTCCTGAGACCTCATGTTTTATGGGCGAGACAGATGGGGCAGCATCACCTTTCTTTGGAGATGATGGCATATGACTGGGCATTGTGTCACGCCTTTTAGGCGAGAGTGGTGCATGCCCATGATCTGGTCCTGTGTCTCTTCTCTTGGGTGAAGATGGTATGTGACTTGGAAGGCTTTCTCGTCTCTTCGGCGATGAGGATGAGTGAGTTGAGTCTCCAACACGTCTTTTTGGCGAGGAACTCGGTGGAGGTGTAGGGTCACCATCCCGCTTCTTAGGAACAGCTGTGAACCTGGTCTCAGCACTACTGTGCCTCTTAGGAAGGGACTGGTACTTGGGGTCACTCCTGCCAATGGCCTGATACCTCGCTTCACCTTCATGCCTTCGGGGGAGAGACCTGAATTTCGTCTCGACCTCCCTCCTTGATGATTGTCCCTTTGCGTCTCCCTCCTTTGGAGATCGTTTTGAAGACGAGTCTTTGGCTGAACGACGAGGAAGAGTCTGGTAGTCTGGATCTCGACGCCGTGGTTTGCCATCACCCCCATCTCTACTACTTCGCTTTGAAGATGAGGAGGACGACTTGAGCTTCGGTTCTCCTCCAGACTGCTGAGCATCCCTGTTGGAGGAACCTTTACGGGTGAGAGAACTTACAGACAAGGGCTTAGCTTCCCCATTGTTTCCTTCACTTAGATTTCTCCGATGAGACTTGGGGAGTGATGGTGTATTGATCCCAAGTTGCTCTGCCGCTGTGGGACCCGAAGACCCTCCTTGTGGTGTTCTGGCCAGCAGGTGAAACCCTATGCCCAAACTCCGTGTGAGGTAGCCAGGCCGGTTATGTCTCGGGAGAGAATAGAATCCTGTGGGTGGCCTGCTGGCAGCTGGTGGAGGCTGGTACACGGGCAACGACGATGGCCCGGATACAGGAGGTGCTGCTGAAGTGGGCACAGATGCGCCTCCTGAAGCAGTGCTTGTCTGAGCTGTTGAGGAGTCTGTTGTTGATGTCTCCGGGGCAGTAGACGCTGGCGTCGGCACAGGCTTACTTGAACTTTTCCCATTGTTGTTATTATTGTTATTGTTGCTAGCATTGTTATTAAAAATGCTAAGTGCAGCACTTGGGAAGCCAGCAAAGCTATTCTGCCGACGGAACAGCTTTGCAACATTCCGGCGAGGAGGAGGCGCTGGTGGCTGGTTCATCACGGGTGAATTGACCTAACACAAAGCTTACAAGTGATATGAGACACTGTTGAACCTAGCTCCAAGACGACCCTGTTCTACCTAATGCTTAATAAAGATCATCAACAAACACGCAAACAGACGCACTGTTCAACACTTTTTGGACATCTAGCAGAATATCAAAAATCCAACTCGACACTTATAATTAGGGTGAACACTTAATTAATCTATAAACGATTAGATACATTTACCATCAATTAAATAGCACCTGATTTCACCTCCCAAAGAAGGTATGAAGACTAAAATACAGCTAGTGAGAGCAACGACTCGAGAGCATAACGATAGCCTTAAAATCACAAGAAGTTCCCACCTGCGAGACAGCGAAACACATTGAATGCAACACAGAGACAACCAAAACACCAAGTGGAAAAATCGTATCTAATCTGATACATCTGTTAATTCGTGAAATCTACTATACAATCTAACCATCACATATAACCGAAAAAAAATTAACAAGAGCACCGAAGATTATTTTATTAATTTATCTACCTATTTATTTATTATCAAATAATTTAACTAATACAGCTTATTGATAGAGGGTGGAAGATGGGGTGGTATGGGGCGAGGGAGTGAGATGTGGGACCTAATCAACATCTCAGAACCATGTGAATTATGTCAATTAGTTACCTTCTCAAGGTAATGAGCACACTGAATGAGCGAGTTTAATGGGAGCTCGCGAGAGGGCAACACTCCTACACGTCTAAAGTTACAACTTTCTACAACTTACAACTTACATGGAAAACCAACAAGAACTCGATTGTCTTACTATTATTACAATATCTGAATAAAATGCTCTAACATGAATCAGATTGTAGTACCTTTTCGTGGCTTTATTACTATTTTAAAGCTTAAAGCTTTCTGAACTCGTTTAAAGTTAAGCTCGTTTAGGAATTAACTTATTTCAGTATCATTGAGCGAGAGTGTGTCTGAGGGTGTGAGCACAAATGAACGTGGGTTTGATATGCGACACTTATTGTGATCTTTCTTGTCTTGCTTGTCGTCACTGTAACCCTTGACGTGTTGTTTCTTGCATGTGGCCAAAGCGGCGACTTCTTTTTTATATGTATATAAAGTATTAATGTAGAAAACAGTGAACTAACGGCTTGTCTAAGATTTCCCTTCACGCTTGTGGTATCAAAATCTACTTTAATATAACGAACTACACATTTGCCGTCCGTCGTTAGTCATGTAGTTATTTATTACAATTTTTATTTTTTTACAAAGTAAGAATCGAGCTTAAAAGTGTCTACTACAAGTGCCAGTTCTACTCCATGAGAGATGCCATTACCACGTCATTACTACGTCATCACTACTGTATTACCAGCAACACCGTCGAAAAAGGCACATTGATCCAAATCTTTTTTTTTAAGGACAGCCGTAGTGTTTGACCATGTAAAGCTCACACACGCTTGGCTGCAGAGAGAGAGGAGGGAGGCTGCAGGACCACACGGACTCTCTCCTTCACTAGCTCAACTGGCCTGATTCCATCCCGCTACCCAGAGCACCTCGATGCTGAGGCCGCTACCATCATCACCATCACTATCAGCACGGGAGAGACGAACGAGGTAGGAAGGTAGCGTTGCGACGGGGCCCAGAGACAGTGCCGTAGGCCATCTACTCCCATTGTATTTTCAGGGGGAACCGACGCACCACCGACGGCTGTAGAGAGACTCCAGGAGGGGAAAAAGACTCTTGGGGATATTATCAAATTTGATGGTGGTGTTGTAGGCTGCGAAGTGAGCGCACGAATCCTTCGGGGAGGTAATAGAACACGGACTAAAAGCTTCTTGATTACTGTAGGTACTTTTCGGCGCTGAGGACTGGTGCGGCGCTCCCTCTCGTGGCTAAAGACATGACGGTGTGATGCCAGGCTTGGCTGGGGAACTGAATCAGTGGGAATCCGATGGCGGCGGCTGGACTTAAGACCACCTGCCCTTCTCTAGACCCACTGAGTGATCTCGCGGTCTGAGTGGTACTATTTCATCTCCAGGTCTGACGAGCGAGATTCCCCGGCAGGTTCCAGACCCTGGAGCCAGTAGTGACACCAAATCAAGCCATTAACCTCAAGATTACAAGCATTACCTGGCCGCCGTATACACGCACACGCACTCACTTCCGGTAATAACCCCACCAATGCGAGCAAATTAACCACCTCGCAACTTTCCCTCAGCTAAATTCGTGTTCCTTCTTTCGTGTGATTTTCCTTCTTTCTCTCTCCCTCTCCCTCTATATCTTTCTCTCTCTGTCTCCTTCTTCTTCTTCTTCTTCTACTTCAGAGCGTGGGCCTTGAGGCAGCACACAGTGGGAGTAGGAAAACCTGTGTAAACATAATAATTTCCCCCTCTTCCAATATCTTCACTTCACTCTCTCACACTATAACTAATTTTTCTGTAACCCTTCACCCTTCACACTACACCCTTTATCTCCGCGAGCACTTTCCGTCGCGGGCAACAGCAAGGTCTACACTTGGGTATAGGAGGCTCATGGGCGCCCCAGGGAGAAAGAGAGGTCAATAGAAAATGTCTGAATGCCAAGGCGGGTGGCAGAGGGTCCACGCACACACTGGCACTAAGATGTCCGCGGCGGCACTGGCGAGAGGCACCAGGGAAGGGGAGGGCCAGCCGCGAACACGTCCAGGCATCCACAACTCCCTACCTCTCCCGACCCCTAGACGCGCGCACATCGATCGGTCACCACGTACTCGCTCTTTCTCTCTCTCTCTCTCTCTCTCTCTCTCTCTCTCTCTCTCTCTCTCTCTCTCTCTCTCTCACGGAAAGGCAGACACTCCCGTCACCTCACACCTCGAGGACAGTTTCACTCACTCACTCACTTTCTCGCCAGCTCCTCACTCTCGTCTCCTCATATTCCTCTTCTCCGTCTTTTCCTTTTTGTCTTTGCGTCTATCCCCTTCATCACTAGGAAGTGATCAAACCAAGTCCCATTGCTACTTACATTCTTCTCATTTCTCCTGTCTCTCAATCTCAATCTCTCTCAGAGAGAGAGAGAGAGAGAGAGAGAGAGAGAGAGAGAGAGAGAGAGAGAGAGAGAGAGAGAGAGAGAGAGAGAGAGAGAGAGGGGGGGGAGGAGAGGGAGGGAGAGGAATAGAGAGAGGGAGGGAGAGAGAGGAAGAGAGAGGGAGAGAGAGGAAGAGAGAGGGAGAGAGAGGAGAGAGAGAGAGAGAGAGAGAGAGAGAGAGAGAGAGAGAGAGAGAGAGAGAGAGAGAGAGAGAGAGAGAGAGAGAGAGAGAGAAAGTGGAGGGAGATGGGGGATGGGAGGGAGAAAGAGAGAGGTGGGGAGAGGGAGAGGGAGAGAGAGAGAGAGACGGGGAGGAGAGAGAGAATGGGGAAGGGGAGGTAGACAGAGAAAGAGAAAAAGAAAGAGAGAGAGTGAGAGAGATGGATGAGAGAAATAGAGAAATAGATAGATAGATAGACAGAGAGAAAAGGGGGGGGGAGAGGGGGGAAGAGACGACTGAGAAAGCGAAAGAGAAAAAAAAAGAAAGAGAAAAGAATGAGAAACAAATAAAAAGAAAGAGAAAAAAAAGAGGAAGAGAGAAAACGAGCGAGAGAGGCTTAGACAAGGCAATTGAGAGATCCTTCCTCAGAGCACCTCCATCGAAGACGGACGGAGCGCCGCCCTCCTCCTGCGGGCCAGGACCTAAGACAACATATCCGGGCGGGCGAGACGAGGCGGCGAGCGGCAGAAGGCACGGAACCATCACAACAAGCGCCCAGGTAAAGAGGA